ATTATTGCCTTCACCCAAGGCTAATAAACTTTTATGTTTAAAATCCAAAACTGACTTTCATTTATTTTTATCTGCGGGAAAGCCGCCTAACTTAAATGTATAGATTTTCCTTAATATATGTAGTAAAATCAAAATGCATGTATAACTACTGGCTACCTAGCCACATACCGTATTCTTGTTTGGGTGCAATCACACCATACCCATCTCGTGTGACACACACACCTGTTACAGGGTACGTGTAACCCCGTTACACACTCAACTTAGGAGCAGAATCTAAAGCAATTAAATACTTAGTTTGCTGTTCTGTTACACGAGTGACATATATTCAAATCTATATTAACATTAGTGATTTATTGCTTTAATTAATTAAACAACGAGATGTGTTGTATGACGCGAGACTTGAAATCCTCGTGTCCTACGGACCTCTCCATTACGAAGTTCTAACGTTCTAATCAGTACCACCAGTAAAATTGCAGCTCTGTGTCATGTGTACGTACGCCATTATACTTTACGTACTCTTGTTAGTGTTACAAATTCGTTTTTCTATATTCAAATGTAATGTAATACATAACGTGTCACGCAATTCCAGAACCTCTACGTTACGAAGTCGTATCACATCAATTTAGTAGTAACATTTGGTATTTTTAGGCTTTATGTCCGAGGGCCGAAAGCGTAAATGCCTACTGTGTGATAGATTATATTGCAGACAACAAATTGCTTCCGTGGATCCGTGACAGAGGCCGAGGTTCCAGCAGCAGCGAGCGTTGTACTTCGCCGGTTAGAGTCAGATCAACCGCTACAAAAGCGTAACTTTAAGCGCAGCAAAAACGATCTGCTTTCAGCTAATAGCATTGTAGTATTACTGATATCACACACATTTTTCTAGTCAGGATATAAGTATTACGTTTTAAGAACAAAATGGGGAGAGCTCAGAATTGGTGTCATATCATTTATATATTAATTTCTAGAAAAGCATGTTTCAACCATTAATCTACAATTATCACAGTATCATATAATGCAGCTCTTCATCGAAGTATCAACGCAGGAAAAATTCGAAGGCGACGGGTCCATCGCCATCGATGGACCCGACGCTTTAAGCTGAATAGCTGGGATCAAAGATATCACCACAGCTGAAAGCTCACGCGATCAGCTATGGGTACTTGGACATAATCTACTCAAAGCTGAATAACAATCTTTTCATTATCGATATGTTACACCCAGTGACGTATTGCTAAAAAAACTAATTGATCATCTGTGGGGACATCCAGTGTACCGATGTCATTAGTGTATTTACCCGATCAGATTAATTTTGACATGCGCAGCGATCTGGGCCATCCGCTTGATGAACTTGCCATATATACCATATATCGAATGGATCCAGGAGGTGTTGCGCAGTGTTGCGTGCGGTAACCACCGCCGAGATCACATTGAACACATGTCTGACAGTTCTTGTGTTTAAGGTAGTCCTCCCTGTGCGGGGTCATATGGGATGTGGCGCCACTGTCGATAACCCACCTGCCGATCGCTCTTCACCCACTGCAAATACAGCGTTATCATTGCTAACAAGCTTCCGACCGGAAATTCTCACTTAACATTACCAAGTTGGTCTTTATAAAAACACTTGCCCCGACATTCGCCGTTAATGTGCGAAGCACTACCTCTTAGAATCTTTCCTTGTTCACCTTTGAGCCTTCCAGCAATCCCTTCTACGCGGAACGCTTTATCCGTAGCTTTCTTTCTGTGCACCTTCTCTGATTATTTGAGC